CCGGGGATTTAGGTCAGTGGTTCTAGCTCCTGCCTCTCAAGCGCAAGGTCCCAAGTTCGATGCCTGGTACGAAAAAAAAACCAAAAAACATTTCATGAGGCTTCACCCCTATTCAAATAAAACAGGGGAAGCACAGTAAGAGACAAAGAGAGCATTGTGAAGGGAGAAAGGGGAAGAGAGGAAACTAGGATTCACTGAGGTGGGTTGTGCTTTGGGCAGGTGGCATAAACCTCATGAGTGAGAGGCAGGTTGTGAAGGAAGGTAAAGAAGAGGACATAGTTGTGCAAACTTTGCTTAAGGCAACAAAACCGGGGAGCAGCTAGCACACAGATATTTCTTATATTGATGCAGAGTAGAGGATGAAAAGTAGAGGGAGATAGGAAAAGAGATATGACATTGGGCTGATCCAGCACAAATCTCTGCCTGAGGAGAGAGCAGAGTTGGCTGGAGAAGGCGGAGCCGGCCAGGGTCATATGATTGAAAGCTGGAAAAGCCTGAGTCAACACGTCTTTGTGGCTTCAGTTGGGATCACCTGCAGAATGGTGAATTAGTTTGTGCGTCACATACCCAGGGCTGGCTCCACGGGGAGTGTAACCAGTGCAGCAGCACAGAGTCGATGCCCTGGCCACCACCTTGAATTCTGACATAATTTCACTTTTGAATATGTGCTTCAGAAGTGAAGTAATTCCAAGGCGCTTATGAAACGTGTGTGGGGCTTGCGGGAGCTCCCTCGACTTACACTGTCTTCTGCCTCCCGCATGTCACACGCCTCCCACTCCAGCACGGGTTCTCTGCCATCTTCTTCCCCCGTCAGGGGCCTCAGGCAAGTCTAGACTCTGTCTATGGACTTCCACCCCTGCCAGCGCTGCAGGACAAGGCTAGCGAGCGGGCCACACCCCGTTACACTGCTGTCACACTGTGTGATTACTGCACCCCTGGCAGGTCCACAGGGTGAACAAACGTGGAAAGGAACACCCAGCTCTGGGCAGAACGTGGCAAGGGCCATCCTGACGCTGGTGCCACCAATGCGTGTTCCTGTAGCTGGTCCGGGGAGCCTCTTGCCCATCCTTGTTCCAAGTGCCAAGTGGATCTCCTCAGAATTTGGTTGAAACCTTTCAGCTGTCATCTGTGTGCCCAGGTGTGGGGTTGTCATCTTGAGAAAGATTAGCTTCCCCTTCTGCCTAGCAGGGTCACAGATTGGTTGGACAGCTGGGGGAGGAGAACCAGCAACCAGTGGGCAACATGCATGCTCTTGGAGCCCTGGAGCGTGGCTCCCAGGTACCCAGGGGTCTACACAACCATCCTGAGCATCCCTGTGCCCACGGGATGCAACATTCACACATTAAAATAATAATCGTAGCAAAGCAAAACACTGCAATAGGATGAGACAGAGACTTCAACAGAAATGAAAACCTTTTGTATTTTAGAACCATGCAAGCACTTTTTTCTTTTTGAGCACAAATATGCTATGATATGAATTTTTATGTCTTCCCCAAATTCCTGTGGTGAAATCCTAACCCCCATGGCGATGTTATCAGGACAGGAGGTTGCTGCCCTCGTGAACCGGCTTGGTGTCCTTTGGAAAGAGGCCCCACAGGGACCCCAGCCCCTTGTACCACATGAGGACTCACTCAGAAGTTGTGCTACATAAACCAAAGTGGTCCCCCCCCCAGACTCCAAATGTGCCTTGGTCTTGGATGCCCTGCCTCTGTACCTGTGAGGAACAAGGCCATGTTTATGAACCATGCAGACCATGGTGCTCTGTAGCAACAGCCAGACAGGGCTAGGAAGAGCCTCCACATTTTTATGTTGCCCCAGACCCGACAAAATATGTGCCCTACACTCTTGAGTGGGTGGCCAGGACAGCAAGGAGACAGATGGGTTTAAGTGGGAAAGCGAGGAAGCAATTAAACAAGTGCAGAGTGGAGTTCTGGGACCAGAAGGTTCAGAGGTGACAAGAGACACGAAGGAAGTAACACATGCCTTAGAAGAGAGAAGGGAACAGGGGGGACTGGGAAGGGAAATGAGCAGAACCACACCTTCTTCACCTCAACTTTCCTGGGCCCAGAACTAATCCTGATGTAGGACAAAGGTAGCATCCGCTGCCCCAGGCACATCCATGCTGGGGGCCAAGATGAAAACTATTTTCCCAACCTTCAACTACACAAAATTGAAGGACTTTTCCCTTATATTCTGCTACCTTTCACCTCCAAAAGAGCTTTGTTTTCTTCTAAAGATGTCACAATCAAAAGTACTCAAGTCATGTGAAGAAATATAATAGTCAATACTATAGACACATCAACCTCCTCATATTTAGCTAGAAATTCTGTGAAATACGAACCAAAGTTTAGCGGGTGTTTTCATGGAGATTAGCAAGCTTATTCTAAAAACAAATAAAAGCAGGAAAAGGATCAAGTAGAGCCAAGGTGTACTTGAGAAAGAACAAAGTAGGAAGATAGCCTAACGGCATCAGGACTTATTATGAATCTAAAGTAATTGAGACAGGGTTTCAGAGGGACAACAGATAGATAAAATAAGGGAAAAGAACAAGAGTCCAAAAATAGATGATGCAGACATACATACATATGTAGATTTAAATGTAAAAAACTTGGGACTGTATATCAGCGTTACTGGTTGATTTTTTTGTACATCAGTAACATTGCAAACAGTGGCCCATCCTAATCTTCCCCACAAACAGGAATCACAGCAAAGACTAAACAGCTAAGTTCTGGGCAGAGCGACCAAGGAAGGCAGCCAGAGGGCAGCAGGAAGCCATGAGAGCCTGTGTGCAGGACAAACCAAGGGGGCCCCAGGACAATGGGATGGAAACTGGATGTTCCCCTCCCCACTGCCAGGGTGGTCAGAGAGCTGCTGGGGTCACAGGGCCTGGGTCCCAGCCCCGACCCAGACCCAGTCACTTTCCAAGCTGTCCAGCCTAAGGCTAGGAGCCCCAGGGTACAGCGGGGACACTCTGCTGCAGAGGGTTTGTTTCCTCTCACCCTATTTTAAATTGAAACTCTGGGGGCTGATGTCAGACGCTCATGGTTACAACTGTTGGGATCCTTATGTTAACCCTCACTTTAAGGCCAGCAGCCAGCTTCAGTCTGGTACCTTTTTTTTTCTGGCTGTACTGGGGATCAAACTCAGGACCTTGCGCTTTCAGGGCAGGCAGCCCTGCCACTGAGCTAAATCTCTGGCCAGTTTGATACTTTTAATTCAACTACATTGTTGTGGGAACTTCCAGGGGAGACTATGCAGTAACTCTGGGTTACTTCCCATATTTACCTCAGAGCTGCTGTCAGCCTTAGGCGAGATCTCCACAGGACGTGTGAAATCTAAATAATCCTAGTCCCTCCCACCCCCTGGACCTTTCCTAAATCCTCAGAGTAAAGTATCAGTAGGAAAATGTACCAAATGGATTCCTTTATGCAAATTTCATTACCCTAAAACCACAATTAAATAAGTTATATCTTCCCCAATTTTATGTTGAACTAAATGTGTCCATAATTGTGATAAATTCGTTTTCATATGAAAAAAATTTTACATGCCAAAAACTAATTTGAATTTTACCTACAAGGGTTTTGGATTTGTGTGCTTTCCTTTGTAGTTATTATGTCTATGAAATGAAATTTTCTCAGACGGAATTGTTTCTGTATCCCATTTCTCCCCACAAGTCATATTCTGTGTTGACTTTTGCTATTATTCATAGTAGTTTAAAATTGTAGATAAAGCCAGAGTGATTTGTTAACTCAGTAATGTGTTTCTAATCAGATATTTATTCTGTGACTGTCCTTTGTCTTGAACAGGATTGTAATTATTTTTTTTTGGTAGCAGGGATTGAACTCGGGACCTTGTCTTGTGAGGCAGGGGGCAGAACCACTGAGCAAATCCCCGGCTCAGGATTGTAATATTAATTATGCGGTTCTCTCACAAACTTTACAGACCATACCTGTAAATTAACTATGCAGGCACTGGACTGGGAAAAGAGCACAGAACAAAATTAAATATTCTCTTATATAAACTGTTATGTCATCCTCAAATAAATGCAGTTAGGCATATTGCTTTTCGTTGCTTTTTGGTACTGGCCATTGAACTTGGGACCTTGTTCTTGCAAGGCAGGCGGCAGAACCACTGAGCTAAATCACTGGCCCTGCTTTTCATTCTTGAATGTTTTATTTCTTTTGCCTTATTATTTATTAATTAGCAATATCCCTACAGTGCTGAATAGGAGTAGCGAATGCACACATTCTTGCTTTCTTCCCAATCTTAGAAGACAAGCAAAAATGTCACCATTCAGTGCGAAGTTAGCTGTAACTCTTCCTCCTTGCCTTTATCACGCTGAGGTTGCGCCTTCTATTTCTAATGTACTGGAAGTTTTTTGCTGTGAGGAGACGTTGGAAGTTTCAAATCTCGTTCTTTGTGTCTGTTGAGCTAAACATACAATTGTTTTCTAGTCTGTTAACAGGATTATACTTTGGTTTTTAGATGTCAAACCAATGTTCCTTTTTAGAGATTAAGCCAATATCCCTTTCTACATGCTCACAATATAATACCTAATTACTGCTATGCGTGGGTGCGTGGGTGTGTGTGTGTGTGTGCACGCGCGCGTGTACTTTTGCAACAGGTCTCAGTCACTAAGTTGTGCAGGCTGTGTCAAACTTGTGATCCTCCTGCCTCAGCCTCCTGGAGAGCTGGGATTGCCATTGTGTGCTGATACCTTGGTAGGGAAATGGGAAAGTTCCAGCGGCTGCTCTTTGGATCAGGCCCTGCGTGGGGGAGTGAGGGCCCTGGGGTGGGAGGGTGGTAACAGCGCCTTATTCGATGTTTCATCCAGTCCTGGCTTGGCGGTGAGCCTCTGCAGCTTCCCTGGCGTGGTGGAAGCCAGGCTGGCTTCTCTGACCACAGTGGGCGAGGCGCAGTGAGGCTCGGCCCACTTGGGCTGATCACCGGCTCATGACAGGGCAGCAGGAGGAGGCAGAGGGCAGCGGCCAGTGAGCAGAGGAGGCCCGCCCCACAAGGTAGCAAGGCGCGCAGACCCCGGGAGGCCCAGCGCGCAGATTCCAGGAGGTCGCAGCCATGCATCGGACGCGCGCCAGTGCCCGCCTGCGGATCGTGCTGGGACACCTCGACCACCTGGCGGCCAGGGCGCTGGTATCCTTCGCGGTAGTTGCTCCCGAGCTTTGATTATTTCGAAGCAACGTGGATTTTGGAATAAGAAATCTTTTGGGCCGGGGATATAGCTCAGTGGTTCAGCCTCCTGCCTCGGAAGCGCAAGGTCCCGAGTTTGATCTCCAGTACCAAAAATAAATGAGAGAGAGAGAGAGAGAGAGAGAGAGAGAGAGAGAGAGAGAGAGAGATCATCTTTTTTTGTAATATGTTTTTAAAATGCAGACGAGTAGTAAGGAAAAAGTAAGGACATGTACCTCATTATTTCTATGCGTATTTATTACATAATTAGAACTGTTCTTTATGAACAGTTTTTTCCATCCATCCATTGTTTTTCACCTTACTTTGCATGGTAAACATTTCCACGTGATTAAAATTTTTTCTAAGAGCAACAACACAAAGGAAACCAGGCCAGGAAAGCAGTGGAGAGGGGAGCGGAAAGTTGCAGGAGGGGGAAGCCGGCTGTCCACGTAGTGACGTGGCCCTGCGGTGGCCTTTGGCTCCGAGGACGCAGCCGGGCTGGTGCCGGGCCTTGCCGTACCCTGCTCTGCCTGTGGCGGCCTCAACGCATCATATAAACAGTCACCTGCGGAGAGGCCGCGTGGAGCTCAGAAACCAGTAGAGAAAGCAGAGGCGCGCTGTGGCACTAATCTGCACTGACAGGACAGAAAGGAGGTTTCCCAAAAGGCTTTCAGCCCTCTCCGATATTTAAAATGATACTTGACTGCGTGGCTCAGACTGTTCTTGGAGTGATTTCTTATTTCATAGACATTTAGGCCCTTAAGGATCAGCCAAACTACTTTGAGTATTTTGAGCTCAGGTCCCACTAAGTTAAAAACCCTTGTAAATAGCCCTTTTCTCTGCTCACTTCAAAAGTGGAACTTTTGGCTGTATTTCCTGTGTTGTTGTTGTTGTTACTGGGGATTGGACTCAGGACCTTTCTCTTTGAGGCAGACATGGTGCCACGGAGCTAAATCCCCGGCCCTAGGTGGTATTTCTTTAAATTTTCGTCTGCCTATCCAGCTTGTAGTACTGAGGATTGAACCCAGGGCCTTCACACTGAGCTACATCTTCCTGGGATGTAGTGGTTACATGATTGTAAATTGCATGAATTCCAAGCATGTAGGAATAGAAAAATTGTAAAACAAAAAATTATTATTCGAGACAGAGTCCCGCTACATTGCTAAATTGCCCGTGTTGGGCACGCACTGGTCCTCCTCCTGCCTCAGCCTCCCGGAATGCTGGGATTACACACGTGAGCCCCCCGGCGGCTGAGTTTAGAGGAAGGAAGCTGTGCTTGCTGAGCGAGGAGTCAGGGCCTTGGCGTGGGGTCGTGTCCTGGGCCACGCGGGCTGCTCACTGAGCCCTCCGGGTCCTGCTGTTCTCCGTGGTGGTGACACGAGAGAGAGACGCAGGCACAGGGGCTTCGCGTGCCCGCCCGCGGGGCGCGGTGTCCAGGGGAAGGCGTGGCCAGGCAGGCGCTGGCTCCTGGAAACACTGCTCTTTGTTCGCCTTAATTCACACCCCGGGCAGCTCACCCCGCCTCAGGGACTGTCCCCCCGAGTCCCAGTTCTCAACGCTTCCAGTGAGTACAGTGCATCTATTTCCGTGTCTACCTCTACCTGGAGGTAAAGGTTTCCCGGGGTGGTAACGCTCAGGGCCTGCCTGGTTACAACTCCTTAACCCTCTCTCCGGGGTTGGCTCTAATCTCTAATGAGCACGAGGGTGGGACGTTTTGAAGACCCCGACTTTAATTTTTTATATGAATTCTAAAAATTGAGAAAGAAGGGGAAAATACCAGGAAATACATAATCTGACCCTTGAAAATCCAAGCACAGTATCACATTTCAGTTATGGTAATATTGATACAGTGGCTAGGATTTTGGTGAATATGTGTCTATATGTTATATGCATATTTATTATATGATATACACCATATATATATATATATAAAAGACACACAATGGTTTTGAAACAGGGACCTGCTCCGTTGCCCAGGTTGATTGTCCACTCCTGGGCTCACATGGTCCTCCTCCCTCAGCCTCCCAAATTGCTGGGCTCACATGCCCAACACTCTACTGTCTTAACTCATCTTTAAAGGGGAAGGCCTTGAACTTCATAAATGTTTTCAGAGAGCCACTGTTCCAATCTTAAGGACCAGGTTGAGTGATTGGAGTTTGTGGCTATGCTCTGTACTTACTTGGATTTTGTTACTTAGATTTCTTCTGAGAATATACTGACTAGACAACTAAAAATGTAGAATATGTTGAATTTGTTTCCCATCTGAAAAACTGTCTATATTCACTATTGCACTTGATCTTAGCCAAAAGGCCGAGAAGTGATTTATATTATTTAAAAAAATAAAAATCAGTAATAGAAGGAAATTTTAAAAATCATCCATAATTCTATTACTGAAAAGCAATTACTATTTAGAAAATTTGGCGGGGATATTTTTCTTTGCAGTCTCTGTTTTTACATAGAGTGTCTTGTTTTACATCATTGTAATCATATTTTCTTACAGAAAACATTGTCCATAGTAGTATGTGATCTTAATTTTAATACCTGAGTCATATTTCATTGAATGGGTGTGTCAATAATTTTCCTTTCATTTATGCACATTTTGGTGACCACAGTCAATGTTATAAAGCTTTAAAATTTTTTTCAGATTATTTTCTTAAGGTCGTAGATATATTAGATTAAAAAGTAAAACTATTTCTTGGATTCTTGCTAGGTGCTGTTAGGTTGTCATTTAAAATTTGGTCTTTCTTGGTGGGATTTTTTTTGTCCTTTAGATATACTTTGGATAATGATGTCCTGGCCCTGGAACAGAGAAAATTTTATGAAGATAATGGGTTCCTTGTCATTAAAAATCTGGTATCTGATGCTGATATTCAA